AAATTGGAAAACTTTGGAAGGAGGAGCATGACCAGATTCTACTTAGAGCAGTATTGAAGTATGTTTTTTCCCCCTTCCAGTTAAATTAAAATTTTGCCTGTTTTCATAGCGCAGTTCTGGCTACTAAATTTTCATAATGACAAGATTAATGTTTATGACAAAATATTATAGATAGATAATCCAGTAATGTTTACAAAAGGAGTTCAAGAAATGATGTTTACATATTAATAGACATTAAAAAAAGGATTTGAAGAATTGAAATTGTCCAGAGTAAGAAAAAGTACCCTAGAGATACAATTTGTTACTACATCGATTGTTAGGTCCTATTGAATAAAAATAATGATGAATACTTAATATTACCTATTTACCAAGGATTTATTTCGATCGTCCTTCTGATAATATTTATGTGTTGACCTTCAAACCAGGTAGTTGAAATGAAATTTGATCGAACAAGTCACTCTATAAATTTTCTCAGGTTCTATTTGCATAATTATAATATTACTTTTATTTTGTTGGACATCAAGACATGGTTATGGAAGATGGCAAGCAATTGTCGATGACAAGGAATTGAGAATCCAGGAAGTGATTTGTCAAGTACTGAATCTTCCCTTCATAAACTTACCTGCCCCTGGGGATCTTCAATCCCAAATTTATGCCTCAGGAGCTCCACAAATGCAATCTTCTTCAGTGACTCCTCAAACGCAGTCAGGAGTTTCTCAAGCACAAGATCCTTCTCCAGATATCTTTCAAGCTCAAAATGGTATGAACAAGGCTGAAACTGGAACATCTGGAAATCAGGTGAAAGGAACCAATGTTGAGAACGACCGGGGGCCAGATGTTGCACAGGGAATAACTAATTCTGCAACCCAATCACAATCCGTCCAAGATCATTCTGTACTTTACAGTTTCAGAGAGATGCAGAGAAGACAGGTTGAGTTTATTAAGAAAAGGGTGCTGCTTTTGGAGAAAGTACTTAATGCAGAATACCAGAAAGAATATTTTGTAAGTTCTTTCACTAGTTAATAGGATAGATGAAAAACTTGCCTGTTGTTTAAAATTTACTCAGAAGTGATTTTTTTTTCCCATCATCGGCAGATAACAGTACATGAGATTAGCTCTCTCTATAACCTCTAATACAAAGGGTGCGACAAAGGTTTTTCACTTAGTAATTAAGTCGCTTTCTATGTACATCTCAGTGCTTGAAATGTTGATTAGTTAGGCAGAAGTTTGTTGAAATTTTAGCTGTATCTAATTAATTATGATTTTAATCATTTTGAAGTGACAAATCATTATTACTTATTCTGTTATCTAAATGAATATACTCTTCAGGGTGATGGAATACCAAACGAGATGCCAAATGATGAGACTGGACGCAATGTTACACATGCAACAAATCCTGGTTTTGTGGAATCAGATGACCAAATGATTGACCATTTGCCTCGAGCTGAAATTATTTGTAAGTGTAGCCATATATTCTTTAAGTTTGTCCCTAGAATATCAGTAATTCAGCGAAGATCGATTGGTATTACTTGGGAAAGGACATGATGAATTTATTCCTAATTTTGTGTTTGCATGGTGTACTGAGGAAGAATGGGGTCATGGTGAATTTTAAAGAATAAATTATCTTTGACATTGTATATGGTTATATGACACATGGTGGCTCGTTCTCATGACTTCTTATGTATATAGGGCTCACTGCTCAGGCGGGTTATGCAAATTTCTGATTTGCAATTAGACAGTACAGGCTATGATGTGTAATTATTTTTTCCTAATGCAGTTCCTGAGGAAGTGTCGAATGTTACTTGTGACAGCAAATCAGACCGCTTGGGTATGGTTCGGCTCTACAATGAGGTAAAATTTATATATTCTAATCTTATTGATGGGTGTATGCATCATATTCGCATGTTTCTTAAAAAAATTTATCCAACAAAATCACCATATGCTACCCACTGATGTGTTTAGATACTGTTGTGCTTTTCATTTGCTTGCAGATGTGCAAATTACTTACAGAAAATGCCCAAGATTCAGTTGCAGCTCATATAGCTAACAATCCGGCTAGCTTGAATTTGAGAAGAAATCTTGCTCCACTGGAAGCGTTTAATCAAGAGATAAACCATATACTTTCACCAGCATCCAGAGGAGATGAGAAGGCGAATGTTGAAAAACCAAGTTCCTCGTGTATTCCCCGAGCAGATGATTTTGTTCATGGAGTCGCGGCAGATACTGGGATGAAGTTATCAGCTATGGATATAGACCTTCCAACACAGGGTAATCTGACAGAATTGGCTTGTGATGTTCATAATGCAGAACCATCTACGGCTGAGATTGAATGTCCTTTGGATTTATCAAGTGGAATTGCAGATGTAGAAATGGAGGCAAAGGACGACGATAATTGTAATCTTAAGATCAATGTTGGGATCGATGGAAGCACATAGAAAGTCAAATTGTTTTGGATGATTCAATCATATACAGAATTGCTGAGATACATCCTAAGCATGGAGAATGAAGGGTAATAGAACAATATAGTAATTAATAATTACTGCAACTTAGAGATTATAGAAGAGTGTAGATGACTTGGCAGATTCCTGGTTATTTAGTGTGTGAATTGCATTGTTAAATTAAAAACTGGCTCTTTTTCCCCCCGAAAAAAATGTTATTAATTGTTTTGTTTCCCAGTTTCTTCGGTTCGATTCTGACCCTAAATCATTTGTCTAATTGTCTTGTCCTTGTCAAAGTTTGGACATGTTTTTGAAACTATGATGCTTGCTTGAAGATGAGAAGGAAAAGATGAATATTTGAAATTATCTTTTAATTTAGATACGCGGAATGATCATATCTTAAAATTATGCAATGTATTGTCAACTTGGATGATGGTAGGGTTGGACAAAATTTTTGAACCCTAACTTGAATCGAATCGAGAATCGATGGATTTGATTCGGTTCTCAATTCTATACCAAGAATTGGAAAACTAAATTTCTATAAATTTTTTTTAATAATTTATTTTATCTTATCTTAAATGAGTCAAATTATTTTTTTTTTTTCAAAATAACTTTGCTAATTATTTAATTTAATTCAAACTCAAAATATGATTTTTACTATTTCTAATTTTTAGTTGAAGTTCAACTTAATTAAATTTACTTGAGTTTTACTCAAATTTATTATTTCATCGTAGTGTTGTTTTTAAAGTAATGGAGAAATCGAATTTGAAGCTTGGTTATGCCACTCTTCATTATTATAAGTTTGCTTCTACCTCTTTTTGTGATTTTAAAAATTAAATTTATGAAAAAATCAATAAAGATAGACGCAAAAGATACTTAAAATTTGAGTATGTTATTTTGTAAGAAGTAAGATTGTATATATTATTAATTGAATTAATGTAGCGTCGTTGTAAAAATTTAAAAAAAAATTATTGTATAAAATCTGAAAATCGAATGGAATCAAACTGAAAATAAAGGAACTGAAGTTGAACAATTCCATAATCAAATTTGAACTAGACGGTTTCACTTACTAAATTTTCGAAAATTCAGGTTCGATTTGATTCTCTTTAGAATTGAATAGAACCGTACAATGTCCAGCTCTAGATGATGGTGATCTTTTTCTCATTTTTATTCGTAATTGTTTTATTTTTGGAAAATGACAAGTTTAAAAGGTTATGAAAAGGGCGACCAATGACTTTAATTCTTAAAAGTCCTGACTAGAAAATGAAAAAGCCAAAAACTAGGAGCGCTAGGTATGTTAGGAACGTGTTCAGATTTGTTACTACTAAAATTTTGATACTTCACATAATTTTAGAGTGCTAAAATTTTAATTTTTCTATTTTTTATGTGATGATGAGAGCTAAACCAAGAGCACATTTGGAATGAACTCGTTAGGACTTAGGAACAAAATAAAACGAAGAGTTTCGTGATGAAATTGAATTAGACTGAAGTTCAGTGACTATTAATGAATTTCTTGCAAGTCACCGACATCAAAGCCCGTGGTGCGTTGAGCGGTTGTCAATTTGGCACCACCAAACCAATTTGGAGTGCTATTACCTATAACTATATTTTAGGGCACCAAAGTAAAATTTATATTTACTTCCATTTTCCCTCCGATCCACCCACCTCACCTGCTTTACTTCAGAATTGGACTTGAAATCTTAAGAAGAACAATTCGAAAACAGGGGTAAAAACCGACATATAATGGATTCTGCAATATCTTGGGACTCCTTGCGAAAGCAGGTAAGTAATTGTGTTTGTGTGTGTGTGATATATATATATTGGCTGAATTTTGGATCTATTGATCTGGTTGTTCTCGATTATAACCTAAGATTGCGAATTGAATCGGGTTGACCATTGGTATTCATAAGATACATTTTTTTATTCTTAAATTCTGTAATTTTGGGACATCTTGTCCTCTGATTACATACCAATTTTTTTTCACTAATGATTCTTTTTTCATTAAAACAATCCTGTGAGCGCCCTAACAACTGTAGGTCATTGCCTTCTAGCCACTGTTTTGACCTTTGGTTCTTGTATGTAATGGTCAAGGTGGCCTAGTTATGCCGCTTTCTGGATCTTGTCCTGATATAGTCTAATCAATATACAATCAACTTCTGTCTGTCACACTAGTAGTAGCCGACCATTATGAATCCCATCTACAGAAATGCAGTCAGTTCTTCATTACATCCATTTGGATTTTTTAACACCCCATAAATGCTTGACTGTAAGGTATCAATTTCCATTTAAAGAATAAAAAACCAAATAAATGCAATGAAGGACATTCTTTAGACAAGGGACACTCTTTAATATGAGTGGGTTTTGTTCCTGTAATTTCTTAAGCTCTCAAATCTATGACGCATACCTAGCCAAATGTTGATAGGGTATTATGTGATATGGCTGCAGTGAGCTGTGCCTACACCAAGTCCATTTTCATTATTGACCCATGGATCTTTTAATTATTTTAAGTTGTTTTGCGTTTGTGTTTGATATGGGATCCTAATTTTTCTGGAAAGAAGCTCAGCTGAAGTGAATTTCTCAGGTAGCAAATTTTGAGTATGTCGATGAAGCTGAAGTGGCAGCAGAAGAGGAAGCATCCATTGCACCAACGGAAAGTAAAGTCTCAACAAACAGTTCTGAGAGAGCAAGCTACTGGGAGGAATTGTTACGAGACAAATATGAAGTGCAGAAAGTTGAGGAATTTAATGCTATGGGCAAGGGAAAGAGAAGCCGTAAACAGGTATTTTTTCCTTGAGATCTTTATTATTGGTTACTTGAATTCCTTATCTTGATGGGACATTTAATTTGAAGGTTGAAGGAGCTTCTTTTCTAATATGCCTTTTCTTGGAGAGCTTTATTATTGTCATAATTACAGGGATAATATTATTCTTAAATAGAAATCTCTGGTTCATGTATTGTCTTTTACCCCTTCAAATTGATCATATAGAGCTTTTGGAGTGAAAGGTGACTTCACAAATTCAGAAAGGCTGCCAATTTGAATTTCTTGTTAAGATTAAATTATAAACAGTAGTAAGTTGAGGATCTGCGTGGTATATGGTCATTTGAAGACTCCACCAATCTTGAGGACTTAACTAGAGCTCATAGATTTTTATAGACTGGAAAAATTAGGATTAAATATTTCTTTAGATTCTGAACTGTTAGTACTACGATTGCTAGCTTTTAAGCCACAAGAGGTTTGTAGGAAAATAATTATCAATTTAAAAATGACCTGTGGCGAAGGAGAAGAGGATCAAGGGTGAGGAAGAAGATAGGAAATTTACCTGGTGTGGATGAAGAGCTCTCAGTTCCTGACAAAAAAGGATTGCGGTTAACGAAAGAGATTGTAGATCTTTGCGTAGGGTTATAGTTCCTCAATTATGGAGTTGAGAAAGACAGGGGATACTTTGATTCTTTGATCTTGTGAAATATACTTTACAAGGGAGGACTTTCGGCTCCATACGAAGACTGAATAACGCTACTTGATCAAACTAAACTGTAGACCAAGGTTCTGGTCAGTACACAAAATGCTTACTTCAAAGATTAAATCAGAATTGATCTCAAGGAAAAGAAAGGCTTCATTTTGGGAATTCTTTCAACCCCACTTGGACACATGCCAGACCAATTTTTTCTCTAGCTACCTTGAAATTTTCTGCTCAGAATGAAAATTCCATCCTACCCTCTTTGTGAGCAAGCTTGCATGTTTTGCTGTAGTCTTTAAAGAAGGCTTTTATTCGTGGAAATTGAACTTGATGGGTTGATTAAATTCTTCTTTTGGTGCACTTGAGCAACTTATCAAGTTCCAGTGTCACTTTTCCTCGATCCTGATTATTATTCCAAGTATTGAGTTTCTCGGTGCAATAGTTATATTTTCTGTGTTCCATGAGAACTTTGGTGCGTTGTGAAAAATGAGAAATACTTGAAAACAGAACCCAACATAAATTTCCAGATTAGGTGTTCTGTCATGGGCATTTGCTCTCTCCACTGTTCATCTATTTATTTCATATCAATGTACATGCTATATACAGATGGTATCTGTTGAAGAAGATGACCTTGCTGGTATGGAAGATGCAAGTTCTGATGCGGAAGATGATAACTATGAAGCTGAGTTGACTGATGGCGAGACAGCTTCAATTGGAACTGCAGCTGTGAGAAAACCTTACAGAAAGAGATTCCGTGGTATGGTGCAACAGACTGTTAGATATTTTGTGGATTAATTAGCTTAATTTCATAGTGACATCTAACTATTGTCTCATTTTCTTATTTTTTTTATCAGCGGACACTTGTGAACCACTTCCTTTGATGGAAGGTGAAGGGAAATCCTTCAGAGTACTTGGGTTTAATCAAAATCAAAGGGCTACATTTGTCCAAAATATGATGAGGTTGCATTTCTTGTTATTTTCTTTACATTATGTGTCTATCTTCTCTGTTTCATTTATCCTTATCTGTTCCCCTCCCTCTCTCTAACACACACACACACCCCTATCATATATGCACGGACGTACGTACTATGTTAATAAATCTAAAAGAACTCAATTGTTTTACAGGTTTGGGGTTGGGGAATATGACTGGGCAGAGTTCGTACCGCGTCTAAAGCAGAAGAGTCACGAAGAGATCAGAGAGTATGTGGTCTTATTCCTCTATACCACGCTACGTTCCACTTCTATGCCAAACAATTGGCAGGGGAATTTGATGCAGCACAGTATATAAGAAGAGGATGATATACCGTGCTGCATCATAATGTCTCTGTTAGAGTATTTAAACTGGCATAGGCATCGTGGGCTCATATTATTTTTTTGACATAGCTCACATGCTTTAGCAGCAGCTAGCTACTGCATTTGTTTGTTCTTTATTAAGTGAAGGGTCCAATACATCATACATCTCTGATATGCTGTGTTATTCTATATGCTCGTTCGCGTACAAGTATTTATGTGCACAACCAAAATTGGGTGTCTGATTACTCTAGATCCGTTATCCAACAAACTTGATGTGGCTAATGGCTTCTTAAAATATACACTCTGTTAGTCTAGTTGGTATATTCTTCTTTTTGTTAATTCTTTTTATACACTATCTACTAATAGCAGACCTCTCCTGAGATCTGAAAGAGTAGACAGAGAAATTGTAAAGCAATTGAGGAGCCTTTTGTTCTGTTTTGAGATTGGCTAGCACATTAAATTGATTTCATGGTCAACCAAAAAATATAGGTAAACTAATTTTGCATTATTTTTTTCTTATTTTGCAGCAAGTTCCATCTTCTATTTTCATCTTGAATCTAATATAAATAAAAAAGAATCTAATCTACACTGTTTCTGGACTTGTCATGTGATAGCATGCCAAAGGAAGTCCTTAAATGATCCATGCATATCTTCTTAAACCTTGAAATTGGGTCTTCAGCATAATGCACATCCTACATCTGTATACTTGAGCTCGTTTGGATTAGTGACCTTGTAGAGCAGATTTGAAGAGACAAGCATGTCTAACATCAACTTTTTGTTCTTACTAAAATTCTTGAATTATCCCTGCCAATTGTTTCTTGTGTGTAGCTGAAAATACATACGGTTTACATCAACAGTTAAACAGTACTTTGTGCTGAACAATAAAATTATTTTTTTAGTTATGGGAGGCTTTTCTTGTCACACATAGCTGAAGACATAACTGACTCACCAACATTCTCAGGTTATTATTACTTCTAATTCTCAAATTTACCCTGTTAATTTGTATTCTGATTTTTTATGTATCTTCTTGGTCAAAGCAAGGTTAATATTTGAATAGTTTCTCTGGTGGCAGATGGTGTTCCCAAAGAGGGACTGAGAATACAGGATGTACTTGTTAGGATAGCAATCTTAATGCTTATCAGGGACAAAGTAAGCTCTATGTCTTAAGAGTAAATCACAATTATATGTTTCATTATTGCAATAGAATTTTGAAGGTTTTGTGCTTTGTGATGTCTCTGGAATCATGGTTACTTATTAAGTCTCTACGGTAAATCACAATCTTTTGTTTTGTTATGCTAATGAAGTTTCCTAGGTTTGGTGCTTTGTCATTATTCTGGAATCTCCTGATTTCTTTTGTCTTGCTATCTCTGAAGGTGAAATTGATGCATCTTTTTTGTTGTTAATGCATGCTACTAGGTTGGAGGCATGCCTTGCCTATTTTATTCTTCAAATAACAATCTTTTCAGTGTCATCATCATCATTTGTAGCTAGACTTTATGTTTAAACATGAGACTGGCTGAAATTTGTACTTCTCTGGATGCAATGGGAAAAGATTCTAAAAACCGTGCATCAATATGGCTTCTGGGAAAGGAAAAGAAGTTAATGAAGTGTTGAAGCAAAACCATTTACAAAATCTGTATCACCACCATTTTAAGATGCAAAACTATCAAGGAATTTGTATTTTCATATTATGTTCATAAATATGTTCTCCATTCCTATCTCCATTATGTCTGAATGTGGCTTGTCCAGATGTCCTGCTATACTTTCTTCTAGAATAAAATTTCGAAGGATTCTACGCCCTTGCATGATAATTACTCCTGCTATTAATCTGCAACTTTTAAACATCGGAACCATTAGTTTACTATATGAAAAAGTGCTGTATTTGGAAGTGTATATACATGTTCCTGTTTATGCAAAGTTTTATCGATATCTTGGCAGTCAAGAGAGTTGATGTTTTTTAATGTTTTGTAATAGAGAGAATAATGTGTAACTTAGTATTAACATCTCATCTTAATTTGTTTCATTTCGATGATGTTATGTTCAATTTTGAAATACCAGCTTGGCATGTTGACAGGTGAAGTCTTCACAAGAGGGAGGTTCGGCCCTTTTTGCAGATGACCTTGTATCTCGTTTCCCTGGAATAAAAATTGGAAAACTTTGGAAGGAGGAGCATGACCAGATTCTACTTAGAGCAGTATTGAAGTATGTTTTTTCCCCCTTCCAGTTAAATTAAAATTTTGCCTGTTTTCATAGCGCAGTTCTGGCTACTAAATTTTCATAATGACAAGATTAATGTTTATGACAAAATATTATAGATAGATAATCCAGTAATGTTTACAAAAGGAGTTCAAGAAATGATGTTTACATATTAATAGACATTAAAAAAAGGATTTGAAGAATTGAAATTGTCCAGAGTAAGAAAAAGTACCCTAGAGATACAATTTGTTACTACATCGATTGTTAGGTCCTATTGAATAAAAATAATGATGAATACTTAATATTACCTATTTACCAAGGATTTATTTCGATCGTCCTTCTGATAATATTTATGTGTTGACCTTCAAACCAGGTAGTTGAAATGAAATTTGATCGAACAAGTCACTCTATAAATTTTCTCAGGTTCTATTTGCATAATTATAATATTACTTTTATTTTGTTGGACATCAAGACATGGTTATGGAAGATGGCAAGCAATTGTCGATGACAAGGAATTGAGAATCCAGGAAGTGATTTGTCAAGTACTGAATCTTCCCTTCATAAACTTACCTGCCCCTGGGGATCTTCAATCCCAAATTTATGCCTCAGGAGCTCCACAAATGCAATCTTCTTCAGTGACTCCTCAAACGCAGTCAGGAGTTTCTCAAGCACAAGATCCTTCTCCAGATATCTTTCAAGCTCAAAATGGTATGAACAAGGCTGAAACTGGAACATCTGGAAATCAGGTGAAAGGAACCAATGTTGAGAACGACCGGGGGCCAGATGTTGCACAGGGAATAACTAATTCTGCAACCCAATCACAATCCGTCCAAGATCATTCTGTACTTTACAGTTTCAGAGAGATGCAGAGAAGACAGGTTGAGTTTATTAAGAAAAGGGTGCTGCTTTTGGAGAAAGTACTTAATGCAGAATACCAGAAAGAATATTTTGTAAGTTCTTTCACTAGTTAATAGGATAGATGAAAAACTTGCCTGTTGTTTAAAATTTACTCAGAAGTGATTTTTTTTTCCCATCATCGGCAGATAACAGTACATGAGATTAGCTCTCTCTATAACCTCTAATACAAAGGGTGCGACAAAGGTTTTTCACTTAGTAATTAAGTCGCTTTCTATGTACATCTCAGTGCTTGAAATGTTGATTAGTTAGGCAGAAGTTTGTTGGAATTTTAGCTGTATCTAATTAATTATGATTTTAATCATTTTGAAGTGACAAATCATTATTACTTATTCTGTTATCTAAATGAATATACTCTTCAGGGTGATGGAATACCAAACGAGATGCCAAATGATGAGACTGGACGCAATGTTACACATGCAACAAATCCTGGTTTTGTGGAATCAGATGACCAAATGATTGACCATTTGCCTCGAGCTGAAATTATTTGTAAGTGTAGCCATATATTCTTTAAGTTTGTCCCTAGAATATCAGTAATTCAGCGAAGATCGATTGGTATTACTTGGGAAAGGACATGATGAATTTATTCCTAATTTTGTGTTTGCATGGTGTACTGAGGAAGAATGGGGTCATGGTGAATTTTAAAGAATAAATTATCTTTGACATTGTATATGGTTATATGACACATGGTGGCTCGTTCTCATGACTTCTTATGTATATAGGGCTCACTGCTCAGGCGGGTTATGCAAATTTCTGATTTGCAATTAGACAGTACAGGCTATGATGTGTAATTATTTTTTCCTAATGCAGTTCCTGAGGAAGTGTCGAATGTTACTTGTGACAGCAAATCAGACCGCTTCGGTATGGTTCGGCTCTACAATGAGGTAAAATTTATATATTCTAATCTTATTGATGGGTGTATGCATCATATTCGCATGTTTCTTAAAAAAATTTATCTAACAAAATCACCATATGCTACCCACTGATGTGTTTAGATACTGTTGTGCTTTTCATTTGCTTGCAGATGTGCAAATTACTTACAGAAAATGCCCAAGATTCAGTTGCAGCTCATATAGCTAACAATCCGGCTAGCTTGAATTTGAGAAGAAATCTTGCTCCACTGGAAGCGTTTAATCAAGAGATAAACCATATACTTTCACCAGCATCCAGAGGAGATGAGAAGGCGAATGTTGAAAAACCAAGTTCCTCGTGTATTCCCCGAGCAGATGATTTTGTTCATGGAGTCGCGGCAGATACTGGGATGAAGTTATCAGCTATGGATATAGACCTTCCAACACAGGGTAATCTGACAGAATTGGCTTGTGATGTTCATAATGCAGAACCATCTACGGCTGAGATTGAATGTCCTTTGGATTTATCAAGTGGAATTGCAGATGTAGAAATGGAGGCAAAGGACGACGATAATTGTAATCTTAAGATCAATGTTGGGATCGATGGAAGCACATAGAAAGTCAAATTGTTTTGGATGATTCAATCATATACAGAATTGCTGAGATACATCCTAAGCATGGAGAGGCTATGATGTGTAATTATTTTTTCCTAATGCAGTTCCTGAGGAAGTGTCGAATGTTACTTGTGACAGCAAATCAGACCGCTTCGGTATGGTTCGGCTCTACAATGAGGTAAAATTTATATATTCTAATCTTATTGATGGGTGTATGCATCATATTCGCATGTTTCTTAAAAAAATTTATCTAACAAAATCACCATATGCTACCCACTGATGTGTTTAGATACTGTTGTGCTTTTCATTTGCTTGCAGATGTGCAAATTACTTACAGAAAATGCCCAAGATTCAGTTGCAGCTCATATAGCTAACAATCCGGCTAGCTTGAATTTGAGAAGAAATCTTGCTCCACTGGAAGCGTTTAATCAAGAGATAAACCATATACTTTCACCAGCATCCAGAGGAGATGAGAAGGCGAATGTTGAAAAACCAAGTTCCTCGTGTATTCCCCGAGCAGATGATTTTGTTCATGGAGTCGCGGCAGATACTGGGATGAAGTTATCAGCTATGGATATAGACCTTCCAACACAGGGTAATCTGACAGAATTGGCTTGTGATGTTCATAATGCAGAACCATCTACGGCTGAGATTGAATGTCCTTTGGATTTATCAAGTGGAATTGCAGATGTAGAAATGGAGGCAAAGGACGACGATAATTGTAATCTTAAGATCAATGTTGGGATCGATGGAAGCACATAGAAAGTCAAATTGTTTTGGATGATTCAATCATATACAGAATTGCTGAGATACATCCTAAGCATGGAGAATGAAGGGTAATAGAACAATATAGTAATTAATAATTACTGCAACTTAGAGATTATAGAAGAGTGTAGATGACTTGGCAGATTCCTGGTTATTTAGTGTGTGAATTGCATTGTTAAATTAAAAACTGGCTCTTTTTCCCCCCGAAAAAAATGTTATTAATTGTTTTGTTTCCCAGTTTCTTCGGTTCGATTCTGACCCTAAATCATTTGTCTAATTGTCTTGTCCTTGTCAAAGTTTGGACATGTTTTTGAAACTATGATGCTTGCTTGAAGATGAGAAGGAAAAGATGAATATTTGAAATTATCTTTTAATTTAGATACGCGGAATGATCATATCTTAAAATTATGCAATGTATTGTCAACTTGGATGATGGTAGGGTTGGACAAAATTTTTGAACCCTAACTTGAATCGAATCGAATCGAGAATCGATGGATTTGATTCGGTTCTCAATTCTATACCAAGAATTGGAAAACTAAATTTCTATAAAAAAAATTTTAATAATTTATTTTATCTTATCTTAAATGAGTCAAATTATTATTTTTTTTTTCAAAATAACTTTGCTAATTATTTAATTTAATTCAAACTCAAAATATGATTTTTACTATTTCTAATTTTTAGTTGAAGTTCAACTTAATTAAATTTACTTGAGTTTTACTCAAATTTATTATTTCATCGTAGTGTTGTTTTTAAAGTTATGGAGAAATCGAATTTGAAGCTTGGTTATGCCACTCTTCATTATTATAAGTTTGCTTCTACCTCTTTTTGTGATTTTAAAAATTAAATTTATGAAAAAATCAATAAAGATAGACGCAAAAGATACTTAAAATTTGAGTATGTTATTTTGTAAGAAGTAAGATTGTATATATTATTAATTGAATTAATGTAGCGTCGTTGTAAAAATTTAAAAAAAAATTATTGTATAAAATCTGAAAATCGAATGGAATCAAACTGAAAATAAAGGAACTGAAGTTGAACAATTCCATAATCAAATTTGAACTAGACGGTTTCACTTACTAAATTTTCGAAAATTCAGGTTCGATTTGATTCTCTTTAGAATTGAATAGAACCGTACAATGTCCAGCTCTAGATGATGGTGATCTTTTTCTCATTTTTATTCGTAATTGTTTTATTTTTGGAAAATGACAAGTTTAAAAGGTTATGAAAAGGACGACCAATGACTTTAATTCTTAAAAGTCCTGACTAGAAAATGAAAAAGCCAAAAACTAGGAGCGCTAGGTATGTTAGGAACGTGTTCAGATTTGTTACTACTAAAATTTTGATACTTCACATAATTTTAGAGTGCTAAAATTTTAATTTTTCTATTTTTTATGTGATGATGAGAGCTAAACCAAGAGCACATTTGGAATGAAC